TACAAACTTAAAATGTCTGAACGCAGAATCGAATAGGCTTTCCAAAAAATAACATGGTAGTAGTGGTAGAACATTTATATTTTGGGGTGATTTTGTGCATTTATCAAAGTCTCATCAGGTAGCCTGATTTCAGATGTGTCATGTAAACAAGATTATTCTTATTGCACAGCATGTTAACGTTTAAACTAACTATTATATTAATCGGAATATTCACAATAATCATATTATTGTGTGTAGGCCATGTTCCTATTGGTCAGTAATGGAGATCGGCTCGTAACACTGGCCACATTACACGATAAAGGCTCAAAACCTACTTAATCGGCAGAGCTAGACCCTGTCACACTGAACAAGCCAAGACGTCCGAGAATGAGTTTACAACCTAAGATTTTTGCCCACGACATGGACATTTGTCTGGGACGGCAAAAACGTGGCATAAGACGGCTAAAATTGTACAGCCTGTGCTGGCCTTTAGACTGCTTTTAAGGTAAGGAAACGTTGTTTCTATCAGCATTTTATTTTTTAAATAATTGTGCCAGGGACCAGTAAGGCATGGCCTTCTTCCTCTGGGGACCATTTGGGTAAAAAAATAATTGGCCATACATTTTTGTTTTTTTTGTTTAAAACACACATTTTCTATGCATTTTCTTTATACACCCTAACTACCCTAACACATATCTACTACCCTAACACATAACAATGTTTTAAGATAGTAATAACATGGACAATCAAGCTATCTTAAACAAATGTGAATAAATTATTTGATGAAACTTTTGAATTTGTCCTTAGTGTCATTACCTCAATAAATGCACTAAATATCACATACAGATTTACATTTACGTCATTTAGCAGATGCTCTTATCCAGAGCGACTTACAGTTAGTGAGTGCATACATATTTTTTCATACTGGCCCCCCGTGGGAATCGAACCCACAACCCTGGCGTTGCAAACGCCATGCTCTACCAACTGAGCTACAGATGTGTCAAATCAGTTAGCTCACATTTAAATCTGAAGGATGTATGGTTTGTAGTGACTAAAATGCATCAGAATGGTATTGGGATCAGCTGGTAGTATGTGTGTGAGTGTGCGTGCATGTGTAGCTGGTAGCTCAAACCGTTCAAAAGTTAGCCCGCTCTTTTGACACAACCTCATTTAGCAGCTATCAGAGGTTACTTACGTAACCGCAATTCTATGAACTAAGCGGCATGTTCAATGGATTGAGAATTATTGTGGGGGGCCAAAATAACTCTGAAATATTGTGGGGGATGTGTCCACCTCACTTATACAGTATGTCGACTGCACCTATGCCTTACCCCTCCCTAAAAGCTGATGTAGGTGTTACCTTGTCTTGCTTGCTACCAAAGTCTTTCAAGATATGTTCGTCCTCTGGTGGTTATTATTATAATCAGATCAACTTAGTACTATGTTTTGAGCAGACTTAGGGTGATTGATCTATTTGACAATCATTCAGTATAACTGAAATAAAGTATTTCCTCGTTTACCATGGCAAATCTACTGTGGCAATTTACCCAACATGTTGTATGAATGGAAAACTAATGTTGGTGTAGGCTTCTCTTATTTGATTTGTTTCCAATTTATGCAATCCATTAAATACAACTGTCTTTAAAATAAACATCTCTGGTATGGTCATTTCTTATCAAGATCGGGTGTAAAATATCCCTGGACTGTCCAAATTTGAAATGTGTAACTGAAGCAAGTCAAATGGCATAAAGTTATTTCAAATGGCATATATGATATTATTTTGCCTTTTAAGATGAAACTTTTCAAATAAATATAAAACTACTACGTCTATATTTGTATATTGTAATTATAATACGTATTTTTACATTAAATCAGCCTTACGGTTTCCGATGATCCTGATAGGTCGATATTTCAATGTAAAGAACCTAGATGCAGCTGTCTGGTATCATAATCACTCGACACGATAACAATGAGAGATCAACTGCTCTGCTAGTTTATTCTTGTTGGTTTTTGGTTGCAAGCAAGCTTGCTTTAACACGCTGATGCATGTAATCTCCCGTTAGTAGCGTTTTAAGAAATCCAGCGGTAATGCGTACCACAGCGCTACATTCTGCCTGTTGGTTGCAATTCACTCACACTGTATAGTCTGAAAACATGGTTAAAACTATAATGTTGATATCATGGATTGTCAGCCCCTGCATCCATAGCTGTCTATGAATTTCAGTGGTTACATTTCTACAGCCCCATCCCTCACCTTTATACCTAAAACAGAGGCAGGGTGCCACTTTGTTATTGATTCAATAAAGTATTGTAGCTTTAAGCCAACAACATATCTTGTACAGTTTTACACAGGAAACCTTTAACATGACATATTATGTTCCAGATGGCACTTTATTCCCTATAGCCGATATAGTGCACTACATTTGACCAGAGCCCTATTGCTAGATTATTATGAGGTTTATGGTGTTTTTAAACTTTTTTTTCACTCCTGCCATCAAAGACTGTAGAAGACTGATAAGATAGTCCACCAGAACGTACGCAAACTTTCACAACCTCTACACTAGAAGAGGTCAGAGGTTAGGCCACATTTAGTAGCCTGATTGTAGAAGATGAATGTGATAGTAGACTGGTCAGGTTATCAAGGGGCAGACTTTAGACTCCATGGGTGTGTCCCAAATGGCACTCTATTCCAATGCACTTCTTTTGACCAGGGCCCATAGGGCTCTGGTTAGAGGTAGTCAACTATATAGGGAATATGGTTCCATTTGGGACATAAACCATCCATCTATTCTATAGTCCTGTTTTTCCAGAAATACAGAAACGTACCTTGATGACCGGGTTTGGTGAGAGAGAGATGCTTCCCCCTCACAAAGAAAGGCAGGCTAGCTATTCACCCTCTCCTCTCCTCACAAAGGAATGCTGCTGGTCCTACTGCATATCTCTCCCCCAACACTTCAGCTTTCAGACATTGATCCATCTCCTCCTCCCCTGTCATCTCTTCTCCTCCTCCCCTCATCTCCCCCCTCCTCTCTACTCCCCTGGTCCTGCAGCATATCTCCCCTCCAGCACCTCAGCCTTAAGAAATTGACCCTTCACCCCATCTGTAGAATTATATAATGAATAGAATTAGAATGACAGCCATTCCTGTTCCGTTGCAATGTTCCGTGCTGCCTGGACCGGACCGATAGCCTTAAAGGAGTTGTTGTTACAGGGTGTCATGTTAGGAATGTCTCATTCATTTATTCTCATCAGAAGCCTGGATAAAAAAAATACAAGTTCATATAAAAATCCTTCCTTAACCTGTCTCGTCGTTCATCTACACTGATTGAAGCGGATTTTAGAAGTGACATCAATAAGGGATCAAAGCTTTCACCTGGATTCACCTGGTCAGTCTGTCATGGAAAGAGCAGGTGCAGGTGTTCCTAATGTTTTGTCCACTCAGTTTATAAATGCCATTTGGGACACAGCCTTGGTAAGCCCCTAAGGCGTGGAGAGGCCCATCTGGTGTAGTGACTTTGGGATGCCTCCTTCTGAAATGTAATTGTGTTTCCAAGCCACTATAATGCGCTTTAGACTAAATCCTTATCAGCGGCAATTAGGTAGAATTAAGTAGAACGTTCAGTCGGGCAACAGTGTTCAAGAGAATCTTCATAACAATATTGTGACGCAGCATGCAACCCATGAATTTGTTTAAAAAGTTGTTAATTTTTTGAATTTTAAATACAAATGACTACCTTCAAATTGGATTGACCCCAACTCTGTCAAACAGGTAGCTATCGGACAGGTCCAGCAGGTCTGTAACGTGTACGCTGGGAGTCAGGAAGCAAGAACAGGGAGTGCATTTAATGGTAAATAAAACTAACCATGATTCACGTACAGACATGAAACACAAAAACAGGGTCAATAACGCATAGGGAAAGGGAGTGACAGATATAGGGGAGGTAATCAGGAAGGTGATGGAGTCCAGGTGAGTACCATAATTAAACACAGGTGCGTGTAATGATGGTGGCAGGTGTGCGTAATGAATGTGGGGGGGGGGGGGGGGGGGGGGGGGGGTTAAAGGATGAGAGAGAGAAAAAGAGGGAGGGGTCTGACTGGACAGGTCCTTAAAAAAGGAGAGAAGGGAGAGGTAGAACTCAACTCAAAGACAGGACAGAGAGAGAGATACCAAGTGAAGATATCTGAAGATCTCAGAAGAAGTGAAGCTACAACTGAAGATTTCAGAAGGTGAGATTTAAACATCTGTTCATCTAATACTGTATCTTCTAAATACCAAATGACACCCTATTCCCCTTTTGAAGTATATAGTGAATCTAAGACAAGATATAGGATGCCTCCCATTCCCTATGTTATGCACTGTAGGCCCTGGTCAAAGTGCATGACCTAGGGAATAGGGTGCCATTTGGGAGGCATGCATATTCCTGTCTGCTAGGGTAATCTCTATGTGGTGGAAGAGATGATACCTGGTATTCCTCAGCCCTCCTTAGCTGAATCTGCTCTGATGTGACAGTACTGGAATGCATCAGTGGAATGGCTGGTGGTACTCGAAGAGAGGTTAGGGAAACTCTGCACTCATCTACACTCTGAAGTACTCACTGAATTTGTGTTGATGGCTTCTCTTTCACTGTCTGTCTATATCTGTGTGTATCTTGCTCTCTTTCTCTCTCAGGGGACTATCACCATGGTAATGTTGATCATTCTTCTGCTTCTCAGTGCTGCCTTTGCACTGGGCAATGCCTTAACTCTGGACGAAGCAAGTAAGAGTTCACCTCACACTTTACATCATTAATTTTAATGTTGTAGCAGAGGTGTGTGTTGAATGACTGCTCTACAAATCATTTGAGTAGTTATTTATGATGCCAGGTGATATGTAGATCAGTCAGTTTTGACTCGCCTTTAAATTCGTCTGCAATTTCGAAAGAGTCCTGTGTCTTCTCCTTACAGATGCTATGGTGGTATTTGCAGCAGATAGAGCAAGGCCATGCCCCAAAGGCTGGTACTGATTTAATTCACACTGCTTCATGTTTGTCGAGACTGCAAGGACATGGCCCGACGCAGAGGTATAATGCTTACCCGCTACTGTGAATTAAAGAAGTTCAATTGACATCAACTCGCTTATTTGGTTTGACGTTGTCTTACCACATGCCTCATGTAAAATATTGAACTTCCCCTTTAAGTTACTGTCTAATTTGAATGTTCTATAGGCTTTGCAATATTTATTTAATGTGTGGAGTCAGGCCTCCTGTATATTGGAACCCACAGGCCATGGGTTAAGACCGAGATAAACTAATATATCTAAGAGCCTATTTAAAAGAACAATAGTTGTGATGTCCAATATTTGATTGTGAGTCCTAGAACACAAATTCTCACAAACTGAACAACTGACTAATACTTACATTATGACATGTCTTTGTCCCTGTCTACTGCTTGCTTTAGCGCCACTGTATGTTCCTTGGAGCAAACCTGGCATCGGCGCACAGCTCTAAGGAGTCCCAATTTCTACAGGCGGTGGTGTTGATCAAGATTGGCGATTTCCCTCTTACCTGGATTGGAGGATATGATGCTGTTCAGGCAAATGTGGAAAAGGTACCCAATTGTCATATTTGAGTAAAAGTTAAAATGCCTTAATAGAAAATGACTAAAGTGAAATGTTTACTCTACATGAACAGGTCAGCTAGAGTATAATCACAGATTTACAGGATTTTTGGTATGCTCATCAATGTGTCAAGGGTCTCTTGTGAAGTCAGGGTACATATAATTTACGCCTGACACGATCTCTTTGCATACTCTTAACTCTTGCCTAATATGTTGGCATACATAATATTTTTATTTTGATGACCAATACTGGTATTTTGAATAATGTGATAGGCATACTGCACTGAATCACACAGTATAATGGTTGTTAAAAGCAGAATTTAAAAAAATAATATTACTGTTATATCCACACACTCGTCACTCCCGTTTAACAATTCTAAATCACTTTGGCACAGTAGGTATCGAGTTACTTTCCAATGATGTTGTATAACACATTTGAAATGGGTAATATTTTTACCGAACACTATTGAAGTTTACATAGCCCCTAGATGCTGTCAATTGCCCTACTTTTTAACAATTGCATCTTTTTTAACAACGTGATATTTTGCTTGAAATAACATGTTGGTTAATGAAATAATACAAATAAAGATATGTGATCATTTATTAGCCTAGTGGTTAAAAGTATTTAGGCATATCATGTGAATAAGACCTCATGTGAAAGCATTGCCTAAATAACAAAATACTGTTGCATGTAGGTGTAGATTATTTATGGGTTGATCATATAAAAATATAAAAACATTGTTTCAACAACTCCAAAGCAGTTGCCTGTCTATGGCAGAGGAACCACTGACTTCCTTTTTCTATTATCAAGACACCTGCTGGTAACGCCTAACTGGTTTGGACAGCTCATGAGGGTTCCTAAATTTCTGCCGACTAGGTTTGACTCTTCTGACTAAGGCTTCATGCAGAGCTTATATTTTTATCCGTAAGAGTAATTTGTCTATTCCCAGTACTTAGGACCACTTTTCTTCTCTGAGACCCTTTGTGGATACGGCCCCAGATCTAGGTTTGGAAGATCTTATAGATGCCTACTGCAGTATCCACTGACACATAGTGGGCTAGCATAGTAGGCTAGAGTGAGTACTATAGCATCATACTTTTATTTTATTTTTTTATATCTAAACATGTTTCAGTTTTAACATTCTGAAGGGTCTGTGGCAGTGATTTCAGTTTAGAATGTTGAAGCCTGCATTCCACCATTGACATGAATGGGGATAGAACACACTTTCCATTAGCAAAAAGCATTGTTGAAGCAATCTAAGTTGAGTCAGTCTGCACATTTCCATGTTTGGTTGGTGTTTGTAGCTTAAAAGGATCAAGAGCAGTGGCTAATCCGAACCTGCCTTTGAAGTCTATGGAGCTTTTATGCAAATGTGAAATGGTTGTTGATACTTCTTGAACAATAATCTTTTGACCAGCAATCTATATAATTTGACCAGCAATCCAAATACTTCCCACTGAAGAGGATGGAGCTTTTATGCAAGTTTACAACGGTTATAGTTCAAAAAGTATAAATGGTATCAAAAAGCAACCTATTCCAGATCGGTCTGCCCATTTTTTTTTTAAGTTTGTATGGCGTTTCTACCTTAACGCTGTAATCCTTAATGGTGAAACGGCCACTTCCGTTTGCGATATTACAACAAATACTTTGTTTTTTGTAGTTTATTTATTTTTCCCTCTGATATCATTGCACGTGCGATAGAAGAGCACAATATGTACTGCAATTATTTTTTCACCATGCTGCACAGCGCTCCGAAGCTCAGCAACAAAAACAATAACAGTGGTGGGGCAGTCAGTGGTGCTTTTTCCCCCTACTGCGGATTCCATTCTTAATCGGTTGTAGACATGTTATGACAATCATTTTTACCATTGACGTCTATGGCCATTGAATTGCATTGTGATTTTTGAAAATGTGGTTGTAATTTGAAAAGTATGTAGTGTAAAAAAAGTTTATTTTTAAGGAACAGTACCAGTTTTAAAGCTGTTTTAGTAGTGACCGCTTTTACGGTTTGGGCGCTACAGGAGGTGGAGGAAAGACTATAAATCAAATCAAATCAAATTTTATTGGTCACATGCGCCGAATACAACAGGTGCAGACATTACAGTGAAATGCTTACTTACAGCCCTTAACCAACAGTGCATTTATTTTAAACAAAAAAGTAAGAATAAAACAACAACAAAAAAGTGTTGAGAAAAAAAGAGCAGAAGTAAAATAAAGTGACAGTAGGGAGGCTATATATACAGTAAAATAAAGTGACAGTAGGGAGGCTATATATACAGGGGGGTACCGTTGCATAGTCAATGTGCGGGGGCACCGGCTAGTTGAGGTAGTTGAGGTAATATGTACATGTGGGTAGAGTTAAAGTGACTATGCATAAATACTTAACAGAGTAGCAGCAGCGTAAAAAGGATGGGGTGGGGGGGCAGTGCAAATAGTCCGGGTAGCCATGATTAGCTGTTCAGGAGTCTTATGGCTTGGGGGTAGAAGCTGTTGAGAAGTCTTTTGGACCTAGACTTGGCACTCCGGTACCGCTTGCCGTGCGGTAGCAGAGAGAACAGTGTCATGGGCCTCTCACTCCACCGGGTTACCACCTTAATTTTCTTCCACTCTGCTCACCACTCTCTCTACTCAGCCTAACTAGCTCCACCTGTCCCTGCTCTGCTCTGCTCTAATTACTCTGCCAGCTGCGCTGCATTACCCACTACCTCTCCCAGTATTTAAGGCCCTGTCTTTCAGCTCTCCGGTGTCAGATCGTCTGCAAAGCTCACACCCGGAACCTGTTTGCTCGCGCTTCTGGCTCACCCTGGTTTTGTGACCCCGGACCTGCCTGTTTGTTGGATACTCTTCTGCCTCAGGAGATCCAGACCTGCTTCTGCCATTACGACTCCTGACTACTCTTCAATCCCGGTAACTCTGACCAGCCTTCTGCCTTGCTACTACGTATTTTGGATTTCCCTTGAACTGTACTGCTGCCTGGTTTCATTCCGCCCTGTTGTGTCTGTGTCTCCCCCCCCCAGGACTTCTGGACCACCCACCACCGGCTTCATAGGACGCATCGCTGCCACTGGGGGGGGCACAGACCCAGCGCATTGGACGGGATCCCTGTTACCCCTGGAGCCTTCATTCACTCCCTACTTCCCTTTTCCCTTAAGTTTAATAAACTTTCTGGTGTGACGCAATTGTGGTCCTCTGGTCGTCTGTCTGAACCGTGACAGTACGATCTGACCATTATGGACTCAGCGCACACTTTCCCCGACATGGAAACCGATGAGCATGAGCAGCAGTTCCAGCAGCAGCAACAACAACTCGCCATGATCATTCAACTCCTCACCAACCTTACCCCAGCCAGTCTGCCCACCAGCCCAGCCCCCGAGTTACCTGCCCCGGTCATTGCAGCCGCTGCTCCGGAACCCAAGATTGGAAACCCCGAGCGGTTCAACGGCGATTCAACCCAGGTCCGGCCATTCCTGACTAGCTGCCGACTTCAGTTCTCCTTGCAGCCAAGGACCTTCGCCACGGAGGGGGCTAAAGTTGGGTATGCCATCACTCACCTGACGGGCCGAGCTCGACTCTGGGGAACAGCAGAGTTCGAACGTCAAACCCCCGCATGTGCAACCTTCGACCTGTTTGCTGAGGAGATGCTGAAGGTGTTTGACCTGGATTCACCCACCGCAGAGGCGTCTCGTGAACTGTTCAGTATTCGACAAGGCAGACGTACAGTCGCAGACCATTCCATCGACTTCCGAACCCTGGCTAGACGAAGTTCTTGGAACACACCATCGTTGGTGGACGCGTTCTTCCATAGTTTGGCTGACTATATCAAGGACGAGTTGGTCTCCCATGAACTGCCTTCCACTCTTGATGAAGCCATCGCACTGACTGTCAGGATCGACAGAAGGATACAGACCCGTCGTCGTGAGAGGGGGCGCCAAGGTCCACCTACTACCGGCATTCGGAGAGATCCGACTGGGCTCCTGTCATCTACTGCCACTCACCCAGGTCAGCTTGATCAGTCTGAGCCTATGGAGATTGGGCGAGCCTCCCTCACTCCTGCAGAGCGCCAGCGCCGCTTCACCTCAAACCTCTGCCTCTATTGTGGAGGTGATGGACATCGTGTGGTAACCTGCCCTTTAAAGGGCCGAAGCTCACCGGGCATAGGGGGAGTCCGGTTGAGTTCAATGACCATCCAGTCCTCCGACCGCAAACCCCTGCTGCAAGTTCACCTCCGCCTCTCTGACTCAACTCACACCCTGGCTGCTCTGGTGGATTCTGGCGCCGAAGCCAACATAATGGACATCAAGCTGGCACGCCAACTGGGACTGGAGAACCTCCGTTTGACACCTCCTATTCCTGCCCGGGCACTGGACGGACACTTACTCGGATCGGTCACTCATGTCACGGCCCCGGTCTCGATGGGTCTGTCCGGAAACCATCAAGAAACTATCCAGTTTCACCTGCTCCCCTCTCCAGGCCAACCCCTCATCCTGGGTTACCCATGGCTCCGCCGGCACAACCCTCAGCTCGACTGGGTGACCGGGGTGATCAGGGAGTGGGGAGAGGACTGCCACCGAACCTGCCTGCTTGCTGCCGCACTACCCCCTCGGCCAGTACCTACTAACTCCGCTCCTGACCTCTCCAATGTCCCAGAATGCTACCATGGTCTCAGAGAGGTGTTTAACAAAGCAAGAGCCACATCTCTGCCCCCTCACCGACCGTACGACTGTGCCATCGACCTCCTCCCTGGAACAGCTCCTCCAAAGGGTCGTCTTTATTCGTTGTCTGCTCCTGAAAGAAAGTCCATGGAGGACTACATCAATGGCTCTCTGTCCGCAGGATTAATCCGTTCATCTTCATCTCCTGCTGGTGCTGGCTTCTTCTTTGTGGGGAAGAAGGACGGATCTCTTCGCCCCTGCATCGACTACAGGGGACTCAACGACATCACAGTGAAAAACCGTTACCCTCTGCCTCTGCTCACCTCTGCTTTTGAGTTGCTCCAGGGAGCCACTGTTTTTACCAAGTTGGATCTCAGAAACGCTTACCACCTAGTGCGGATCCGGGAGGGAGATGAATGGAAAACCGCATTCAATACACCAACAGGCCACTACGAGTATCTGGTTATGCCTTTTGGCCTCACCAATGCTCCTGCTGTGTTCCAGGCTCTAGTGAATGATGTACTGCGGGACATGTTAAACAAGTTTGTCTTCGTTTACCTGGATGACATCTTAATCTACTCCAGAAACCTGTCTGAACACACCCGCCATGTCCAGCAAGTCCTTCATCGTCTTCTGGAGAATTCCCTCTACGCCAAGGCAGAGAAATGTGAGTTTCACGTCAAGACAGTGGCCTTCCTGGGGTACATAGTGGCAGAGGGAAGTATCCAAATGGATCCTGCCAAAGTATCAGCAGTCACTTCATGGCCAGTTCCGGAGAACAGAAAGAAGCTGCAACAGTTTCTGGGGTTTGCTAACTTCTATAGGAAGTTTATCCGGAACTACAGTACCGTTGCTGCCCCTCTCACTGCTCTAACCAGCACCAAGCAACCCTTCACCTGGACCCCAGCAGCCGACAAAGCCTTCAGTACCCTCAAGGTGAGGTTCACCTCCGCTCCCATCCTCCAGATGCCTGATGTGGACCGGCAATTCATTGTGGAGGTGGACGCCTCGGATGTGGGAGTTGGTGCTGTGATTTCTCAGTGGGCTGCGGAGGATAGGAAGCTCCATCCCTGTGCCTTTTTCTCACGTCGGTTGTCCCCCTCTGAGTGCAATTACGACATAGGGAACCGTGAGCTGCTGGCAGTGAAGCTTGCCTTGGAGGAGTGGCGTCACTGGCTGGAGGGGTCCACCATTCCATTTCTCGTTTGGACCGATCATAAGAACTTGGAGTACATCCGCACGGCCAAACGGTTGAACTCCAGGCAGTCCCGCTGGGCCCTGTTCTTCACCAGGTTTAATTTCACTCTGTCATACCGGCCTGGATCACGCAACACCAAGCCAGACGCCCTCTCCCGTCAATTCCAGAAGGATGACACCCCCTCCAAGGACCCTGTGTCGATTCTGCCAAGTCCCTGCATCGTTGCAGCTCTGACCTGGGCTGTTGAGGAACAGGTGCTGGAGGCTCTCCGTAACCAGCCAGGTCCCAGCACTTGCCCAGCTGACCGCCTTTTTGTCCCCGAAGACCTGAGGTCCCAGGTCGTTCAGTGGGGACATGACTCCCGCCTAGCTTGTCACCCTGGCTCCACCCGCACTTACAACCTGCTCGCCCAGAGGTTCTGGTGGCCCTCTCTGAGGAAGGATGTACGGGAATTCGTCCAAGCCTGCCCCATCTGCAACCAACACAAGTCGTCCTGCCAGCCCCCAGCCGGATTGCTGCAGCCCCTGCCTGTGCCCAGACGTCCCTGGTCTCACATCGCCCTTGACTTTGTCACGGGGCTGCCCCCTTCAAGTGGCATGACCGTCATTCTCACCATCGTTGACCGTTTCAGCAAGATGGCACACTTCATTCCCCTCCCCAAGCTCCCAACCGCCAAGGAGACCGCCCAGGTGGTCCTGGAACACGTCTTCCGGATCCACGGACTGCCAAAGGATGTAGTTTCTGACCGTGGTCCACAATTCTCCTCCGCTTTTTGGAAGGAGTTCTGTCACCTGCTGGGAGCCACAGTCAGTCTGACTTCCGGATTCCATCCCCAATCCAATGGGCAGTCAGAGCGGGCTAATCAGGAGCTCGAGAAGGCACTGCGATGCATGACTTCACGCAACCCCCACTCCTGGTCGCAGCAATTGACATGGGTGGAGTACGCACACAATTCTCTGACCTGCTCTGCCATCGGTATGTCCCCTTTCCAATGTGTTTATGGATACCAGCCTCCTCTATTTGCCAGCCAGGAAGAGGAGGTTACTTGCCCATCTGCACTTGCTTTTGCCCGTCGATGTCGCCGCACCTGGTCACAAGCCCGAGCCACACTCCTCAAATCCGTTGCCAGCTACACTACCGGGGCCAACCGTCGGAGAATTCCTGCTCCCACCTACCATGTTGGTCAAAGGGTGTGGTTGTCATCGAAGAACCTGCCACTCAGGGTGGAGTCGCAGAAGCTGGCACCTCGGTTCATTGGCCCATTCCCTATCATAAGAGTGATTAGCCCAACTGCTGTCCGGCTCCAACTGCCTAATTCCCTGAGGGTGCACCCCACTTTCCATGTGTCTAAGATTAAGCCCATCCATGAGAGTCCGCTGGTCCCTGCTGCGCCTGGTCCTCCTCCTCCACGGCTCGTCGATGGTGGTCTGGTTTACACCGTCCGCCGCCTGCTTCGGTCCAGACGGAGGGGTAGGGGTCTCCAGTACCTCATTGACTGGGAGGGCTATGGACCTGAGGAAAGGACCTGGGTGCCAGCTAGTCGGATTGTGGATAGGACTCTCATCACCGCTTTCCACCAACGGCATCCTGATCAACCTGCAATCCGTAGGGGCCGCCCCAGAGGGGTCCCTAACCGTCCGGCCCGCTCGGCTTCCTGTCCTGTGCCTGATCCTGTCTCGGGACCTGTCCCATCTCCCGACCACGGCCCTCCGGCTTCCTCCGAGGATGAGGACGTTCACTCGGACCGTTCGGAGGAGTTCTAGCCCTCCTCCGGCTCCCCTCCTCCCGCCCGGCGTGGTGTTGCTCTTGGGACTTCTGGGGCCGTCCCTTGGGGGGGGGGTTCTGTCATGGGCCTCTCACTCCACCGGGTTACCACCTTAATTTTCTTCCACTCTGCTCACCACTCTCTCTACTCAGCCTAACTAGCTCCACCTGTCCCTGCTCTGCTCTGCTCTAATTACTCTGCCAGCTGCGCTGCATTACCCACTACCTCTCCCAGTATTTAAGGCCCTGTCTTTCAGCTCTCCGGTGTCAGATCGTCTGCAAAGCTCACACCCGGAACCTGTTTGCTCGCGCTTCTGGCTCACCCTGGTTTTGTGACCCCGGACCTGCCTGTTTGTTGGATACTCTTCTGCCTCAGGAGATCCAGACCTGCTTCTGCCATTACGACTCCTGACTACTCTTCAATCCCGGTAACTCTGACCAGCCTTCTGCCTTGCTACTACGTATTTTGGATTTCCCTTGAACTGTACTGCTGCCTGGTTTCATTCCGCCCTGTTGTGTCTGTGTCTCCCCCCCCCAGGACTTCTGGACCACCCACCACCGGCTTCATAGGACGCATCGCTGCCACTGGGGGGGGCACAGACCCAGCGCATTGGACGGGATCCCTGTTACCCCTGGAGCCTTCATTCACTCCCTACTTCCCTTTTCCCTTAAGTTTAATAAACTTTCTGGTGTGACGCAATTGTGGTCCTCTGGTCGTCTGTCTGAACCGTGACAAACAGTCTATGACTAGGGTGGCTGGAGTCTTTGACAATTTTGAGGGCCTTCCTCTGACACTATAAGTATGTCGGATTTTAGAAGTTGTTCTTGCTTTCAGCAAGCACATCTAATATGGGATTTCATTGATACTGAGAACTCACTACTTCCCCACAGGACAGGCTATGGTTCTGGAGTGACGGCTCCAAATTTGATCACCAGAGCTGGGCGAAAGATGAGCCCAATAACGGTGCCAGAGAGCCATGCATTCAGATGAACTTTGGAGGTACAGTAAGCTCACTATCAATCACTGATCCATTCATCAAATTAAACTTTATTCATAGTAAGTTTAACAAATAAATCTGACACACACTTGTATTACATTTTTGTGTGTACATCTGAGTTGATTTGAGGTAATTTCTATTCCACATTTCCTCTTAAGGAGAACACCGCTGGAACGATGAATTATGTGGAAAGAGCTATCCCTCTGTGTGCTCCATAAGAACCTGTTCAATCCATCAAACTATCAACTGAAACCAAATATACTACTCCGTAGTGTCAGCATCCTAACTGAACATATTTTATGGTAAAATGTGTTGCTGTAAAATGAAAGTTTTAGTTACTTGTTGTACATAAATGTTGAGTAATGATTTTGTGGTTTGTTGTCAATAAAACGTGTGTCTGCATTTTTCTCATGAGTTTTTATTAAACATGAATGATAGTGCCATAATTGTCAAATCCTTTGAGAGGTTTCTTAAAGAGAGTCTAGGATCTGGGAGTCTATTCAGTGGTCATTTCAATGATTTGATATTTATCTATTGATTCTTGAAGAATATAATTAATAAATGATTCTCTTGTATGACCCAAACGGTTTTATTACTCTACAAACAACAGCTTAAAAATACGTTGTTTTTTTTATGTGGATGTCGGAGCGCAGTCTATGAATTTGAGAGGCGTTACATTTCAATAAATCATCCATTCCCTGTACACCAAGTATTGGGCAGCCGTTTGTTCGAATCCCAGAATGTAGCTTTGCGTTTCCGAACTCTCACTGGGTATAGACGTGAGTACAAGATGTGCTTGTCAGAGCCAAATGTATTAGACTTGTATGGAATGGCGTGATACACAGTGTGATAGGTTTATTCTCTCAGTGAACAGCTAGCTAGTATAATATCATACTATAAAACAGCTGAAGAATCGAACACTAAGTGTGGGGGAAAAAATCGATAATGTAATAGTTGCAGGTTGAAAATACAAGCTACACAGGACCTTCTAATCAGCAGGTTAATCATGTGTGGAGTTTTGGCTTGCCTGGTGACATCACGAGGCGGTATAAGTTAAAAGACATAACAGAGTTTGAAACCTCTGCCAATAACAGCACATTTTCAGGTTACATATCCCTCACATTAGGCCCCTCCGCTCTGGTGGATTGATCCACATGTTGCAGTTCCTCCAGGATTTGTTGAGATATTTGCTAGCAAAAAAGCTTTGTTTTTCTGCGGCAATTCCGACATTTTCCATGGCAATATGATTTTGTCCAATTTGTCGGGAAAATGCGCCGACCAGTGGCGGCTCCTGAACAAATTCTCAGGGAGGGCAATTTTTTCTGATGATTTAGGTGACCTACACACATTTTTAAAAAGATATGTCCAGCAACAACATGAAGACAGGGGCAGCATATAAGTCAATACCAGAAGCATTTATTGACTGATCTCAAAAGTGTTGGCTTACAAAAGCAAAATAAGTTATCACAGTAAAAATAATCAAGGGTGTTCTTTCACATTCCTCAACACTGCATAAACAATATGCATTTCCATAAACAAATGAAATATCAGCTGAAAATACAGCATCTTGGTATTTGTTCAGATTGCAGGATCAACAAGAGCTTTTACCACATTTTTTGATATCTGTTTAATCTTACCTTATGGCCTGCACTTGCTTGTGAAGCTGTCGAGGGCACGTTTGATAGAGACAGCATCGATGTCCTTCTTCTGTAGCTTCTGGTACAGAATGTCGACGTGGGGCATGATTTTGTGAAAAAGCCGCAGGAAAAAAATTAAATCTTCATCATGTAGTATCCTCACGTAGCCAGCTGCCTCTCTCAAGGTGTGCTGGTCAAATGAACCCAATGAACCCGTCCGGATGGCTTCAAAACATTATATGAGGTCGTCTCGATTCTCGTAGACAGTGTTCACGACTCTGCTGTTGCTAACCTCATCGTTGTGGCGGCGGACAGCTAGCCTGTATCCCTCATCCAGTTGAGTGGCAATATTCACTCTCCCAAAAGCAGACAATCTCAAACAGCTATATGTGGGTCTTTGACAGCTAATTTTTCTTAATCTTTTCTGAAAGATGGTGCATGTCGGTTACACCAGTCGCTGTCCAAGCGGTGCTGTCTGCTGTGCCGCCTTCAGGGTGGAAGAGTAAGCAGGGGTAGCAAAAAACTGCATTAGCTACATCGCAGCCTGCTAGCCAGGTTTTCCGTTCATACCAATTTTTGGAAAATCCTCGGGTGTAGGACTTCCCCCCTTTAGTAGACACCTGTTGAATTATTAAATTTGGTCTGGGGGGTCCTAATTGTTTCGTTGCCAATTTATCTTCATTTGTTCGCCGACAAAAAGGAACTTCTTTCAAAGACACAATCGAGTTGGACTGAAGCCTAGCCATTTTGATAGTAGTAGTGAATTGAATGAGGCTGCTACCTGGTCTTTTCTTAGTTACGTTCATTCGTGGTTACGTTATGTATGACGAAAGCGCGTAAGTGCAAGCCCACAGACACCCATAGAGAATGTATTGAAAGCTTTGAAATGTGACAAACTAGATTTTACATGGGAGTTCTATGACAGACTTCTGGGCGATTTTCAACCTGACGAAAACGCCCAAAAAAAAGGGGGGGGGCCATTTAAGCCACCCCA